GATCCAGCCCAGGATGCCATTGGTTTAGAAGCTTTAGAAAACACTCACTGCACAGAGTAGTGATCTGTTAAACTGCACTTCAGTATTTGATGTTGTCCTGCTCCTAAGTTAGAACAGGAATAGTCAGTTCAGTAAGTTGTTGCTTATTTCACAGCTCTAAATGTTTGACTTTTTCAGAATGCTCTCGACGACAAGGAAACTGCTGTGAAGATGAAGATGTTTGGCAAACTCACAAGGGACACGTTTGAATGGCATCCTGATAAGCTGCTGTGTAAAAGATTTAATGTTCGTGATCCATATCCTGAGTAAGAGAATTGACACTCATGTTTTTGGCTCTTCTGGAAAGCTCTGAGTTTTTCATTTGCTTGTGGAAAACCTGGCTCCATGTTTTCTTTTTGTGTCATGGTAGATGTGATAGAGAACCACACAAAGTTTTCGTGTGTCAGGAAACATGGTGACCCCTGACAAAATAGTGTGTCTTTGAGTCATAGAATCACAGAGTCAACTGGGTTGGAAGAGATCTCCCTCAGCCTCTCCTCATGGCACTTGTGCTCCAGTCCCTTCCCCAGCCTCGTTGCTCTGCTCTGGACCTGCTCCAGCCCCTCACTGTCCCTCTGAGCTGAGGGGCCAGAGCTGAGCACAGGATTCAAGGTGTGGCCTCACCAGCACCGAGTGCAGGGGCAGAATCACCTCCTGGTCCTGCTGACCACACTGTTCCTGATCCAGCCCAGGATGCCTTTGGCGTTCTTGGCCCCCTGAGCACACTGCTGTCTCCTGGTCAGCTTTCTATCTCCCCACACTCCCAGGTCCCTTTCTCCTGGTGCTCTCCAGCCACTCTGTCCACTTCTGTCATTGGAAGCACTGCTGTTGCTGTTCGGGCTTCTTGTAGGTAATTTGAGGCCTTTTCTGTGTTAAAAACAATGATCAAACTTTTTTCTTTCCCTCTAGTTCTTCCATAGTTGGTTTGCCAAAAGTGAAACGAGACAAGTATTCTGTGTTTAATTTCTTGACTGTGCCTGAGCCCACCACACCTCCAACTCCAGCAACAAACGAGAAAACCCAAGAGAGGAAGAGTCTCAGCAGTAAGTTTGTTATTTCCTTATTAATTTAGCTATAAATTATAGTACAGATAAAAAGTATCTTTTTCATGGGTAGCAAAAGATCAACTGATATAAAACTGAAGTTAGTGATGCAGTGCTGATTTCTTCTACCTAC